TTCTTGTACGTTAATCTATAACTTTCCATCTGTCAAATTTTAACCAAAAATTTAAAAAAAAAATTGCCAAATGGTTCAGAGCATAAGGCTGTGTTCCATTTGGTAAATATTCACTTAAAGTTGACGCTTCGAAAATTAATTATAAAATGTTCGAAAATTCCTCTGTTGTTGATCGGTCAATTTTCGAGAAGGTGTATGTCAAAATTGATTCCTCGTTTGTCAGAAATAAGTCTGCTGGAATAGCAGGTTTATTTAAAAAAAATCCATCTGTCAAATTTAAGTGAAAATTCACCAAATGGAACACAGCCTAAAGGTCCAAGCGCGCAATGACAGCGGAAGCGGAACAGCCCGATCTGAGTAAGTCTACTTGTCGGATTGAAAACAAGTCAGAACCAAATCGACTTCGGTTAGGCAGCTTGATGTCATTTGTGAAAATTGTCAAACTTTCCGTTTCCGTTCCGCTTCCGCCCACATTGCGTTTGGGCCTTAAGTCCGAATCTATGTTCGCACTGCGGTAGACTGTAAATCAAGCTGAACATTGCATTAGGCCCTAAGTAACATTGACAGATTCTCTTCGTCGACTTTCTCTTTGTATCCCCACGACCATGGAAAATCATTTTTTTTTTTTAGACTTTATTTAAGAGATTTTTAGCCTTAGGCACCATGTAAAATCATTCTCATGTATTTTCAGCACACAGATCGACAATACGACGACGATAAAATGACAAACACATCAAGAAACGGTTCTGTGCTCAAGTTATTAACTAAAGACAAAGTCGACGAAGAGAATCGATCAATATTACTTAGGACCAAATGCAATGTTCAGCTTGAAATACATTGTGCTGTCAATTTTCAGATTTGTGATGTGATATTTCGACAGCGAGCATGCATAAGGGCGTATACGCGATGATCGATTCTCTTCATCGATTTTCTATTTTGTTAAATACTCGCTAGATTTAACGTTTCTCGGTGCGTTTGCTGTTGCTTTTGATAGTCAATACAACCTGTTACAACTCTGCATTAAACAAATTCTAGAAAATTGTTTCGCTTAGCTGTAGCAATGCAAAGATAAATCGATGAAGAGAATCGATCATCGCGTATACGCCCTTATGCAAGCTCACTGTCGATTTGTTTTATTTTTTAGAATGGATTTGTCAGTCGGATTAGCGAGTCAAACCCCGATACCGGCCTTAATTTTGTCGGATGTGCGGGGTGCAGTGCTGAGATTTGTCATTGTCATTGACAGACTTTTGCGCGATATTGACAAAATTGTTTTCACATAGTCAATGATAGACTTGATCCTCAAAAAAATCTTTGTCAAAAACTCATTCATTTTTTTGTCAATGACAAAGATTCACCTGGTAACAGAAAGTGTAATTTCATGCATTCTGAGACACATTATTGTTATCCAAGCGGTTCAGGACGTAGATGCTTATTCACTTTAATGGCTCCATGTAATTGTTTTGCTCAAGCCATTTAATTTCATTTCAAATTTAGCTAATAAACAAATCAGCACATGTTCGTCACTGACAAAAATGCTACTGACAATTGACATGGTTTGCCTTGACGATGACTGTTAGTTCAAACGAGTGACCAAAGCAGAATTTTGAGTATCACCGTATATTGTCGAAATTTTGCAGCACTGGCGGGGTGATACCACAAACGAAGTGACAGACGGAGCGGCTCGAAAACTTTGGTGACTAACCTGCTATTTCAATTTTTCAGTGTAACACATGGCAACACCACTACTACTGGATTGTACCACATGGTCTGGATGTAAGTCGGGGATTCATTCGAGTGATGTCAAGACTTATGTCCAACCACTACTCGCTAGACGCACATCTCTATAGAATAAACCTCGTTGACAGCAATATATGTAGGTGCAGAACCGGTTATGATGACATCGATCACGCAGTTTGGTATTGCCCGGGTAATGACGCCTCCAGAGCACGACTATTGGATACCCTAGTGGCCCGAGGTAGACAACCCTTCCGTGAAGTAAGAGATGTATTGGGAACACGTGATCTTCCCTACATGCAAGCGATCTACGAATTCCTTTGTTTGTCTGATGTTAGAGTTTGATGTGACTATCCCCTCCTTTCCAAACAATTTCCCGCCATTGTGTCCCAGTCTTATTATCCTCCTGTTCCTGTGCTACGTGCCCCTGCCCAGCCAGGATTTCGTCAACCGTCCGAGAGTAGTATCTGAAGGAGGCTTCAGAAACCAGTTTCCTACCTAGATCCTTCCAATTGAAATTGTTACCTATTAACCTCGAGCCCGCCGCGAGTAATTGGTACCCAATACCTGAGTGGTGCGAAGTGAAATTTTCTTCATGTTGGTAGTGTTGAAATAAACGTTTCATCACCGTCGGTTGGTAGAGAGAAGTGTCAAACGGCTTTTTGTGCAGAGCCGATTCATGACTTTGTGATTGTTTGTTGACATTGTTCATAGCTGGAGTTTTTACGGAGTGGAATAAAATTCAGAATCTGTTGAAATTTCTTGGAACTTTTGTACTATCATCACAAATCTCCTTAGAACGTTCTCCGAAGTCACAGTCGTTCCTGAGCGAAAAAAAATCGGAGGGGTTTTTTTTTAGCGCAGGAGTCTACTTTGGTCCAAAATACGCAATAATACTGTTATTTTTAATTGTTTGAGTCGTTTCGAATCACGTTTTTAAAAAGATCAAAAACATTACTGAAAAATATTTATTTTTTATTTTGGACGATAACAATACTTCTATCTATTTCAACGAACCACAATGATAAAAAAGTGGTTTGATTTGACAGCTCGAAAGTGGTTCGATTTTGAGGTCCATCTTCGCACCACTCAGCCCAATACTAACCTAGAAATACTGCTATTTAAAATGTAAATCAAACATTACTGATTTTGACTCCGCAAAGTGTCACACACGACTGAGCCTAGTAAATAAACGAACTAGTTAAAAAAAATGGCAACACTACTACTGGATTGTACTAGCATTTTCACCAAATGTATTAGAATGTTTTGGTTCTATCTCTTTCACTCTACCCAAAACTGAAATGCATAAAAAAAATGACAAAATGATACGCACTCTTTGCACACTGTCAAAGAATCATTGTACACAAAATCAACTTTGTGCAAAACCAAAACAAAAATACCATATCCCATCTGATGGATGATGGCACAAGCTTCTAAGAAAATTCTATTACAGCGAACCACATTATTTTAATTGATTTCTTCGCCAGTTAGTCGTCTGTCACTTCGTTTGTGGTGATACCAACAATCAATACGAAACTAACGATTTTAAATTGGCTCACCACTTTAGTAGCCTATTGGTCCCAAGCAAACGATTAACGTACCCTATTCTAGTCGAAATTCTAGTACTACGCAATGTTTGTTTTGATTCGCTATGAAAGTTTGACAGATAAAATGAGGGGTTATTGGTTTTTCCTATGTTTCGAGGGGTGATTCGACAAGCTTGGGACCGAAGATAGTACCAGCAACAATCAATACGAAACTAACGAGTTTAAATTGGCTCACTACTTGACTAGCCTATTGGTCCCAAGCAAATCGATTAATGTACCCCATTCTAGTATAAATTCCAGTACTACACTATGTTTGTTTTGATTCGCTATGAAAGTTTGACAGATAAAATGAGGGGTTAGTGGCTTTTCCTATGTTTCGAGGGGTGAATCGATTAGCTTGGGACCGAAAATAGTACCAGAGCTGAGCCAAAAAGTTGAGCTCGTTTCTTCGGGACCTTCTGGTCTTAGAGTTATCTCTATGGTGATACTGTACAAACGTAATGTTGGTTTGTCTATTGTGAAATCTCGTGTCATTTTTTAAATATACCAGTCTATATTGATCGATTCTCTTAATCGACCCTCTGTTTCGTTAATAGCTCGGCTCCAACAACATTTTCAGCTCCACTTATCGTCCAATACGCTTAATAATACTTTCTTCTAACTCGAAATATGAATGCAGCCAAGTTATTAACTAAAGAGAGAGTCAATGAAGATGATCGATCAATGTAGTTTAGTCTAAATATTTGAAAAGTGACGCGAGAAATCACAAATATTTTTGATGTTACTCAACACGACGAAATTAGACGCCTAGCGCGAAGAAGCGATCTGCCTCAGAAGCAGAAATTGATTTATTTAAACATGTGTTGCTGGTTGCTTCTCTCTCAATTTAATTTGCATATGACCAACATTTGAAAATGCCACTACACTCGACTTAGCCAAAAGGTTATCACCCCAACAAGAGACAAGAGAGAAGCGTTCATTTTCCCACAGCTGTATAAGGTAACGACCACGTTGGCTTAATTGTTCCAAAGCACACCATATAGTCTTCGCGCCAAAGCTCTCCGACAGCATGCGCTTTTGAATTTCTAATGTAAACAAATGCAAATTACGGTAAGTGTTTTTAAATGTGCGAAGCGATCACTATTCTCCCTCTCCACTCGCATTTCTCTCTCTCTCTCTCTCTCTTTCGTTTGTGCTGGCGATAATGTTGTGAATTTATTGCCTGGGAAGCGCATACAGATATGAAACGCTGATAAGTCACGACCTCCGAGCATCATAAACAAAATGATAGGTGAGCTGAAGTGTTGCCAGCTTTTGAGCTTATGTTGACGATCGTGACGTAGGACGTAATCGATCTTTGTTGGTCAGGTTTCGAAATTTGACAAACTGTCTAATAAAGTTTAAAAATTACAATACTTATCACCGATGCGAAAAGCGTCAAGTTCGATCACTTCCATTCACATTTCGATTCTCGAATTCACACGATCTTTCCCTTCCATCTGAATGCCGTAACAATGTCCTCTCTTTAACCCGAGCAGGTGCCATCATTCGCCGGAGAGAAATCTCCCGCTCTGCACCATGCCGCACACAACACGCGAACGGAGAAACTGGTCTGAACTTCCAAGCCAACGGGTTCGATCGTAGTAGTTTCACTTGTGCTCGCTCAGAAAGATCACCTGTGCAAAATTTCGTGCTCAACAAGTTTGGCGCCTTGATCCCAACCAGTTACGACGGTTGCCACATCAATAAAAAGAAATGTCACTCAAAACGTTTCTGATTCCGATCGTGATAGGGCTAGTGATGGCGTTGGCCCTAACCATCGAAGCCAGCCCCATGTACTACAAGAAGGTTTCCGGACAAAAGTACGAACCAGGTAAGTCTTCCGACGATGTTCATCACTCGATCGTAGACGAGAGGTGAAGGTTGACTCATCGACTGTATCCACCTCCACTCCGATGTTTATGATGTTGTTGTTGTTGTTGTTGTTTCGCTCGCAGATTGGGTGGCGGTGTCATCGACGGTCATTCCTCTGGCCGAGTACCGTGTGAGTGTGGGTGGTAGCGGCGGCGAGCAGCACAAGTCGACCTCATTGGTGGCGGATGATGAGTACAGGCGAGCGTACATGAAACACAAGAAGCTAACGGCGGCCAACAAGGCAAAACTTGTTACTCAAAAGGGATCGGATGCTACGGTGGCCCAGGCTCGCGTTCAGGAAGATCCGGACACGTTGATCACTGGTGGGTGGATTATAAATTTTATTCGATAGATGATTATTATTATTATTATTTAGCTTTATTAAGGAGGCTTTCAGCCTTAGGCTGGTTCGCCTCCAAATACGATAGATGATTGATTGATGCAGCGTAATGCGGGTTCTCTTTTTGTTTTTTCAGCCAACAAAAAGTTCTACGAAAGGAAGAGCGATTGAGCAGGGGATGAGCGAGAGGACGTTACCAAACTAACCGAAGTGACCTGTAAATATTTTTTTTTTGCGTTCTGAACATGTTGCAATTTATAATGATTACATTTAAATCCGGTGCCAATAATATTTTTTTTTACTAGAAATTAACCTGAACCTGTTTGTTCAAATAGCAATAAAAATATTTTCAAACTAACAGTTTTGGGGTTTCATTTGGTGTTGGATAGATGACTCGAAGAAACATTTTGACCGTATTGACGTTCTATGTCTATGGAAGAAATTGCATTCTTGGATTTCTTTCTTGACCACTTCTGCCCATAAATAAAAAAACGGGTTCGCGCTGGAAGACATATCCAGTCGAACACACAGTTACGGTACTAGCATAGAGGTAACTAAGACCAGAAGGTCCGAAGAAATGTGCTCAGCTTTTTGGCTCAGCTCTGTTACTATCTTCGGTCCCAAGCTAATCTAAACACCCCTCGAAACATAGAAAAATCTACGAACCCCTCATTTTATCTGTCAAACTTACATAGCGAATCAAAACAAACTTAGTGTACTACTAGAACATCGACTAGAATGGGGTACTTTAATCGATTTGCTTGGGACCAATAGGCTAGTCAAGTAGTGAGCCAATTTAAAATCATTAGTTTCCACCGGTTGTTATAACTCTGTAGTCTGAATAAGGCATAAGCAATCATTGTAACTCGCCCCGTAACGTGGGTAGATCACCTTTTCGTGGTACGTTACGGGATGTAAGATCTACCACCGATTCCTAGTCCTGACTACTTCAAACTAGGGGAACAGGATTTTTCAGTAATCCAAGGAACACATCTTAGTCCTTGTTACTTTTTATGCCTTGTTGATAGTGACAAGACTCGGCTTTGTCTACCGAGGATGATCTTGAAACAAGGCAAAAAAATGAGTAAGTTGTCTTCATCTATGTGATTCTAATCTTCTCTTCGTTGTTCCCTAGTTTGAAGTGGTTAAGACTAGGGTTCTGATGCATGGTCATTATCGGTGTCATCCTTAATTTTGTTGCTAAGGAATCCAATTTTGACTGACAAAGAGGCGCGCCTTTGGAGGGTGTTTCAACACTCCGAAGGGTATAAATAGCGGGACCTTTCAATTAGAGTCGGATCCTTGCGATAAATGCAAGAGTGGCAACTGTAAAAAAATCGAATACTTCATCATTTCTCAATAGTGATGGAGTAATACGACATGCACTAAACTAAGGACACGGGATATACTACAATAGATCAATTTACTGGTCGCAGTAGTGTTAGGTCCCGAACAGAGGAAAAAAAAAAGTTGTAACTCGGACCGAACCAGACGTTTGTAAATTTAGGAGACGAGCGATAAAAGTTACTCGCATATTTAGACACTCCAGAAAATTCCATTCTAGCACCCGTGAAACGGCTTCGCCTGTGTTGAGTACTTGTGGCAACGCAGATTTTGCAGTGAAAATGGCTACCCCAAGGGGTTGGTCACTCCGCACGTTGTGCCAAAAACACAGTTGGGCACACCTGGGCACACTCATTGGCACTTTTTGGCACCCATGGTTTTAATTTTTCACGATCTTTAATGTGTCTGGTAACACTACGCGTCAATCAACCCATTGTTTATATGTTTCGCATCATTAAATTTCATGAAGCTTAGCTAAGAACGTAACAAATCTTATAGCTTTGCCTATTATTTTTGCTTGCTGCTTCAAGAAAATGCCATAGGTGTTCAACGATTCGATGAACAATGTGATACAAAATGTAGGCGGATTTGGCGTTGAACTTCATCAGCTACTTCTTCATTGAGCAGCTAAGCTGCTGAGTTGTCTGGTCAGCAGCGATTGGATTGCAAGACGGAACAGATCTACGGACCGTGACCAAGCCTTCACAGTCTACACGGCACACCCGAAATAAGTACATCTTTTTACAAAGCCAACGGTGGCAGGTGCAGGCATATTAGACCATAGACAAGCTGAGCGTACGGTTCGGGAGATAAGCGAGCATCTGGAAGCAGCTTGTAAAAATCAGAGCGTCTTGAATCATCAGAAGGAGGGGAAATGCCGCAGTTTGGAGGACATTTGATGAAGATACAAAATGGGTTCCAGGAAGTGTTGAATATATCGACTGAGGATTTGAGATATACTACCAGACTATCAAGATGTTTTCAATGAAGTGTTTCGAGATAATTGGATCGCATAACTCAAGGTTCGGGGCTGTCTTGGTTTGGGTTTGGCCTTTATTTCTGTTTTCTGTGGAATTTACTTCCACAAAGAGAAAGAGTAGTGCTCGATCTTATACGATTCTTAACTTATAGGCAAGGAATCAAAAATATCTCCAAATGACAAAATGATGAATATGAATTGGTGGCTAAAATAGGAACTTGACCAATACTGGAGCGTTTCCCCTAAATGAAAACAATCGAGCTGTCAAAATACCGGGTTGCCAAACATGCCATTATTCACATTATAAGCCATCACGATGTCATGGCACTGTCACAGATTCTTTGCTCGACTGTTGAGCTGTTCAGTCCGTATTTTCGCTCGAGTTCTCGTTTCGATTTTGATTCGTTTTGTGCTGTCGCGTTGCGCCGTGGAAGTGTCGCTACCTTCTCGCGTTCTGGCAAGTTTACTTGAACTGGCAAACACGAAAAAAATGGTGCGTAAACGTGCCAATGAGACAGCAGCGGGCCCTTCAAAGAAAGTGCTAATCAAGCCCGGCGCGTCGCAGGATGACGCCGGAAAACGGTACTGCAAGCCAACCAGTACTCCCGAAAGAAAATGGCAATGGTGACGCCGTTCCCATTGCTAGAAGAGAGTGGATTTCCCCGCACTTCACGCCGGTGAAGGATGTTGCCAAGCTGGGTGCTGAACTGGCAAAACACAAGCTGCTGCCTTGCTTCAAGTTTTGCAGCATTGGTACCAAAATCATGTGCTCCAGCCTGGAGGAGTACTAACAAATAGAATGTTTCCTGAAGGACAACAACGTAGACTTCTTCACGCATGATCTGCCATCGAGCAAGCCACTGAAGGTGGTTTTGCGTGGATTACCGTTGTTCGAGGCGGCTGCGGTGAAATCCGAGCTGGAGCGGCTTGGGCTCAAGCCTGAGGCAGTGTACCTGATGAAGGCGTTCCAACCACAACACCAGTTTACGTAACCAGTTGTTCCTGGTGCACGTCACGAAGAGATCCATCAGTCTTGCGGTTCTAAGATCTAAAATCCGGGACCTGTTTCAGGTCATTATCAGTTGGGAGCATTACAAACCCCAACATCGTGATGTTACGCAGTGTATGAACTGCCTCTCATATGGCCATGGCACCAAAAACTGGCACATGAAGACAAACTGCGGCAAGTGTGCTGGAACTCACTCAACTGCGTCCTGTGAGCAAGTCGATGACATCGAGCCAACGTGTGTCAACTGCGGTGGAAACCACCAAGTCTCCAATCGCGGATGTCCCAAGCGAGTGGAGTTTATGAATATCCGTCGGATGGCTACAATCAACAAACCCGGTCGCCTCCTGTACTCACGGAAGTCCAGTACCCAGCTCTCCAGCCCCGTCGACATGTTCCGAACCTAGCCCCGCTTCCGCTCAACAACCAACAAGCCAATCCTGCGAGTATCCAAATGGTTCCCAACAGTCGGATAGTTCAGCATCGTCTCGCTGCTGCTGCGGCCCAGCCAATTCCAGGTTCATCCACCGCCCCTGTTTTATCATTCGCTGGTGCTGTCTCAGGTGAGCCTGTCGACGATTCTCCATTCACCTCGGAGGAACTTGTGACGCTCGTGTCCCTTGTCACTAAGTATGGACCGTGAAGCCATCAAGATCGTAAATTGGACTGCTTACTTTTTGAAGAGCAAAAACATCGCGAGTTGTTGACTTTCTCAACGAACGGCTCATCGACATAGCCGTCATCATCGAGACTCACTTTAAGCCCGAGCTGAACGTCTTCCTTCACGACTTTCGGCTCGTAAGGCTTGACTGCACCAGCTCCGGGGGAGGGGGAGTGGCCATCGCTGCGAGACGGAACATCAGCTGCCGGCTACTACCAAGCTTCCAGCTGAAAACCATCGAAGCCATCGGAGCAGAGGTGAGTGCATCGCTTGGTCCAATCACCATCATCGCGGTCTACTGCCCCAAGCAAACCAACATTAGGGACGGCTCGGCCGCAGACCTCCGAAGAGACATCATCAAGCTAACACGACGGCGGCCAAATTTCATCATCGCTGGCGACCTGAACGCCAAGCATCAAGCCTGGGGCAATAGTCGGCGAAACCAGAACGGCACAATCTTGTACAACGATCTGCGGGAAGTCCACTACAACATCCTATGTCCGGACACTCCCACCCGGTTGAGTCGATCCAGAGCTCATGTCACCATCGACATCTTCATCAGCAACATCGGCGATAACATCTCTCAACCTATCGCCTATCAGGAACTGAGCTCGGACCACTATCCGGTGGTGGCCGACGTAGGTTCCTCGGCCAAAAGGTTTCAAGTTTCCCGGCGAAATTACCATCGTGTCAACTGGCAGCAGTATCAGCGCTGTGTGGACACAGCAATCGACTACGACGCCCTACTGGAGTCGTTCGAAGAAGTCGATCGGTGTCTGCAAACCATCGAAGAGGCGATATCCCGTGCCAGGGAGCAACACGTACCAGCATCCAGACAGATGAGTCATACTTTGACCCTTGACAGCCCAACCAAAGATCTTATCAGGCTCCGCAGCACCATTCGTAGGCAGCTCCAGCGTTCTGGGCTGCAAAACTTAAAGACCAATGTCAATAGGCTAACCAAAATAATCCAGGCCAGGATGGTGGAACTCCCTACTCATAACCCCAGTTGAAATGGCCAATTCTCTTGGCCAACATTTTGTGATTTCACATAATCTTGCCCAAACCATGGTGAGCCCACATGAGCCTGACGTACTGGAGGCAATGTCTAGAGTCGCTGACACCCCCGTAGTAGTGCATGATGATAGTAGAATATCGGCTGATGAGGTGATAGCAGCTATTAGAAACACTACAAACATGAAGGCTGCGCGTATGTTAACTACACACCTCGAATTGAAAAACTTGAGTATTGACTTCTT